GTTAATTTGGGAAGGGACTTAAATTGTGTGATAACATATATAAATATATAAATATTCTTCAACTTCATCTCTCTTAAGCAAAGGATGGGAGCTAAAACCCAGTGATGTGCATTCTTAAAAGCACCGTGTCTCCAACTTCTTCACTCGTGTTTTTCTCCTTATCGTCCCAGAAACTTGTGATTTCAACTATACTTTTTATCAAGACTGAATCAAACTCTCTGTTGGCTTGTAATTTTTCTATTTGTAGCACTTATTACGGCCAGGCGCAATGCCAAGGCTTTTACTTCTATTATTGCACGTACTTGTCACAGCAGTTCAGTGACGCGAGTAGTGGCCTCATTTTATAGATGAGGAAACTGAGGTTTATGGACTTTATGTTAATTTGCCCACGGTCACATGGCTAGGATTTAAAGCCTAGTGTGTTCACTGTAAAGCCCACACCCTCAAGCACTACTGAGCAGGGCAGTTGCTGCGTCTCCATCTATAGAAAACTGACGCGGGGCTCGTGACAGACGGCCATTCATGTACCATCATTCATCTCCCAGGAGGTGGTAGTTGATCTGATTTGAGAATAGAGCAGTTCGTTGAAACAGGTCACTGGAGGTCCAGAGACTGGTGAAGTGGCCAAGATCTTGCACAGGATCCGGAGTCCGTTTGTCTGAGTAGAATCCTACCTCTGTCACTCACATCTTGTGTGGCCTTAGGCATGTTACTTAACTTTTTTGTGCCTCAGTTTCCGTATCTTTAAATGGAAATAACCATAGTATCGACTTCATAGGGTGGTTGTGAGGATTTAACAAGATGGTAACCTGCACCGCACTTGAGAGCTTCTAAATAAATAGCAGCTAGCTGTTATTTGTGCCTCAGTTGGCACCCCTTTGAAGTTAAAAAGCAGTGTTACTGGGTCTGCACTGCCAGTTCGAGAGAGCCCGTTCACACTCTTCAGATGGACTTATGCTATTTGATCCTCACATCAGCCTTGTAAAGTTGTCGGCATTAAGAAGCGCCCAGCCTGGCACCATTCTTGGGATCACAGAAGCAGCAGCCTTTACAGCAGGCCTCGGCACCCGCGCTCCAGGTAGACAAAATAGATGCGCTTCTGTCAGCGTCTCTTCAAAGACTCACCTCAGGGGTGCAGTCTTCTGCCCTCTGAGACGGAATCTATTTGGAAAGGCCCAAGTAACCTTTGCTTTGTCCAAGTAACCTTCTCTCACACTCAGTACCAAAATCAGTTCCGATTTTTTTTTCTAATCTTGGCAACACTTAGTGCTACTTCTTTGTTCACAGCGTTGCATTTATTTGTTTAAACATCTGCGCTCTGTTATGTATATTTTACTGCAATTAAAAAAAAAAAAATCTCCTGAAAGTGTAGACTTTCACACTCTAGGATTGGTGATAATAAAAGTAAACATGTTCACCTAAGGTAAAATAATGGGTTTTTACTACACTATGTATATTTTTTTTAATTGAAATTTTTCCCCACAAAAGAAATAGTGCTACAAACATAGTTCATGTGTTTAATAGTAATATTCCGTTAGGCTTCAGATGTCCCTCAATAAAAGTTTTGTTTTATACTTCGGTATAAGTTAAATGAAGTAAGTAACTAATATGCTGTTATAAACAAGTTACCTGAAGATAAACATCTTATGGATATCAATATGTCATTGTTTATTAAATTCTGGAGCATGGAGCAGTTTCCAATGTGAAATCTCAGCTGGCTTTGCAGAAATTGACAAACTGATCCTAAAATTCATATGGAAGTTCACAGGACTCAATAGCCAAAACATTTTTGGAGAAGAACAACGTTGGAGAACTCACATGTTCCAATTTCAATACTCACTACAAAGCTGCAGTAATCAAAACTGCGGTACTGGCATAAAAGACGTATAGATCAATGGAATAGAATTAAGAATCCAGAAATAAATTCTCACCTTTATGGTCAGTTGAGTTCTCAGAAAGGATGCCAAGACCATTCAGTGGGGGAAGAACAGTCTTTTCAACAAATGGCGCTGGGACAACTGGATGTCCACATGCAGAGAATGAAGTTGGACTCCTACCTCATACCGCATACAAAAAGTAACCCGAAATTGATCAAAGATCTAAATGTAAGAGGTAAAACTACAAAACTCTTGAAAGAAAACAGAGGAGTAAATCTTCATGATCTGGATTTGGCAAAGGTTTCTCAGGTATGATACCAAAAACACATGGAACAAAAAGAGAAGAATAAATTGAACTTAATCAAAATTTGAAAATATGTTTCAAAGGATTACACCAAGAGAGTAAGAAGGCAACCTACGGAATAGGAGAAAATATTTGCAAGTTGTGTATCTGATAAGGGGATTGTATCTAGAATATATAAAATACTCTTACAATTTGATAATAAAAAGACTGCCTGATTTTAAAGTGGGTAAAGGATCTGAAAGTTATACCATAGGGCAGTGAACACATAAAAAGATACTTAGCATCATTAGTCACAGGGAAATGCAGAGCGAAACCATAGTGTGATAGTACTTCATTCACACCAGCGTGGCTCTAATCAGAAAGACAGTTAGTAACAAATGTGGAGAACCCGGAACTCTCATATATTGCTGGTGGGAGTGCATAATGGTGTGGCCCCTTTGGAAAACTGACAGTTCCTCAAAAGGTTAAAGACAGAGTTGCCATGTAACCCAACAATTATGCTCCAAGGTATACAGCCAAGATAAATAAAAACATATGTCCAGACAAAAACTTGTACACAGTTGTTTATAGCAGCATTATTCATAATAGCCAAAAACATGGAGACAACCCAAATGTCCATCAACAGATGAATGGATAAATACAATATCATCTATGCATATAAATGGAATGATATTCAGCTGTAAAAAGGAATTAAGTACTGATACATGCTACGGTATGAATGAACCTTGGAAAAACACTATGCTAAGCAAAAGAAGCCAGACAGAAAAGACCACAATTGTGTGATTCCGTTTACATGAAATGTCAAAAATAGGCAAATCTACAGAGACAGAAATTGGATCAGTGGTTGCCTAGGGCCAAGTGGGCGACTTGGTTGTGGGGGGCGGGGGAGGGCGATGGCTCATAGGTACAGGGTTTCTTTGTGGGGTGATGAATTTTTCTAAAACTGTGATAATGGTCACTCAACTCTGAGTGTACTTAAAGTCATTGAGTTGTACACTTGAAATGGGTGAAATTTGTATGGTATATGACTTCATCTCATTAAACCTTTACAAAACAAAAATTTCCAACATGAACAATTACTTGGAGAACCTCTATTGCTACCTCACACTGTTTCATTCTTCTTTCCTCTTAACTGTACTCCCCTCCTGTGTCTGGTGCGGCTGTTGCAGAGGACCTGAGCTCTTATGCTTCTGCCATTTTCTCTGACAATCCATGTCATGATAAAATTTCATTCAACTTTCCAGTAAGGGGCTCCAATCAGGCATCTGCTCTAAATGGATTTATTCATGTTTTCCTAAGGCCAGAGAAGGATTTTTTTTTTTCCAGCTTCAAGTATACAGCATGGGGATTAGAAAGACGGTGGGTTGAATATCAAGCTGTTCTAAGCCCAACACAGCAGGAAAGAGATCTGGGGCTTTTAGGAGGCTTCCCCCTCACAGAGAAGGTGAATGTGATATCCACGATCACGTTAGTGCGAGTGCATTCAGTTGGCTTGGCATTTGAAAACAGAAAGTAACAGGAAAATGAGCCGCTAGTAGAGGCTCCTACTTTTGTATACCTCTCCTTTCCACTCCCCATGTTACCAGCCTCTCCCAAGGAAGGGCCTGAAAACTCAGGCTGAGCTGTAAATGACAGAGGAGACTTAGGCTGTTGTCTCCGAAAGATCCCTGCTTAATGTATTCCTCCAGGAGGGGAAGGCCAGGCCCATTCCTGGCCCGGGGTCCTTCCCAAAGGCCGTTGCAGGCTCAGGAGCAGGCATGTTTGTGTGTTGCAAGGCAAGGGAGAGAGGTTAAACATTTGGGTCACGACAGACAGGGCCACATTGCCCTTCTTAGGGACATAGGGTCTGACCGCTTCCTGCAAAGCACGCAGTTAGCTCATGGGCTTCCTCTGCGTAGCCAGTGAGAGCTCCTGGGCCAACTGTTTTCAAAATGTTAAGCTTGTCAAAAAATGGTAGCCCTAGGGGCGCCTGGGTGGCTCATTGGGTTGGGGCCTCTGCCTTCGGCTCAGGTCATGATCCCAGGGTCCTGGGATCGAGCCCTACATCGGGCTCTCTGCTCAGCGGGGACCCTGCTTCCCCCTCTCTCTCTCTGCCTTCCTCTGCCTACCTGTGATCTCTGTCAAATAAATAAAATCTTAAAAAAAAAAAAAAAAAATGGTAGCCCTAGATAAGGGGGCATTCTGTGCTGGGGGTGAAAGCTCAGAGCAGAGGAGGCCCTTTTACCTGGGGTGATTGATTCTGTGCACCCTCCCAGGAGAGCAGGACTCCTCTCGGCCAACCAGTCACCCCAAACCTTGCCCTCTGCACACCCAGTACTCTGAAGTCCTAAAAGGCCATGATTCACTGAAAACTTGAAGGAGAAACTGCAAGCCTGCTGCCCGTTTGCACTGAAATCAAAGTTTTATGCAACTATGTTCCTGTTTTCAGGGTGGTAAATTCTCTGGGCCCCTTTGTGTTCCCTGAGACCACACCTTTCACACTGTCAGACCAAAAACAAAACAAAAACAAAAACCAAAAGCAGCAAATTACCCCTGCTGCTTAGGCATTTGTATGAAAACTGGTTTTAGGGACATTTTCTTTGTTCTTATTTTCTTTGTTCTTATTTTCTTTGGCCCTGAGTGGGACATAAGCTCATTTTTCTTTTTTCTCTTTCATTGAAATTGGAAACTATATTTTTTATTTTTAAAAGAAATTCTTTCTGCCCAGTTCTGCATTGAAAAGAGCTTGTAAAATACAGCTGCTTTTGTCCCCCCCTTCGCATCAGGGTTCCCCTGCAGGCTGCTCTGAGCCCTCCGCCCCCCTCGGCAGGAAGGAGGCGTCAGGCACACTTGCTGGCGCACTCCAGCAGCTCCATCCGAATGGCAATGCGGACGTGCCAGCCCAGCGGGATCAGCCGGATGAAGCGGGAAATGATGGGGGGCCTCAGGAGGTTCTGGACTGTGGAGGTTCGGTCTGAGTTTCCATAGAAGACCTAAAGAGAGAAGAAATCTTATCGCTGTCCCGTCAGAGGATGGTAAAGGAAAAACAATTCTTATCTGAAGCTCACCCTAACTCTTGAGTTTGAGAAATGGTGCTTAAGGCTCAGAGAACTGTCCAGGCCCCACCCTCCTCCAAATCTGAAACTTGCACATTGGTCAGTACCTCTGTGCTCTAGCAGATACTAACATTTCCGTCATCGTGGAATGTTCTAGATGGCATCGATAGAAAATGCCTCTTGATCCTTATCACCAATTTTGTGTTTTCATGCTCTGCATTTTGCTAAGTTTTGAAAAAGACCACATCTCACAAGAGGAATGTTCCTACATTCCAAAGGTGTCCAAAGTGGGGCTCAAGTAAAGCTCCAGTGCTCTGGCCTTGAAGTCGTGAGCCGAAGCTTAAGTGTGTATCTCTACATTGATACAAACGGCAAATAGACTCGGAAAGCTGCTTTTAGAAGAAAAGACATAAAAACAAGATTCTGGCAGGGGAAAGGCAGTAAGTACCCAAAGGTGTTTGCTTCGTGTTTTGGGGGGATGCGACATAGCTTGGAGACGAGGCTGTACCATTAAAAAGGTGACATGGCTGTTTAGCTGCATTTCCATAGAAACCATTCTTTGCAGTCTTTTCTAGAATTGTAGTGCTATGCCTCATGACACTGGAGCATTTCATTTCTTTCTGGGACTATCTCCTAAAAAAAATCTGGCTGCTACATTGACCACCTCTATCTGCAAAACCGGAAGAACCTCAGATGCCACAATCTTGTCTCTTCCCAGTAGCAACATCCCACATCCCCTTCTCTCAGCTTTTCACCCTTGAGCCTATTCAAGTCAGGGGACAGCTGCAGAGGGAGAATGGAACAGGCTCCTTCGGACTGCACAAGGGCCCGAGCGGAATGCCTCTTTGCAAAGAACCGACAAGGCCTTCAGAAATGCAGACAGGACTTTAAAAAGATTTCTCATTTCTTTTTGAAAAGCCAACTAACAAGAGCAAAAATGAAATGAAATGTGTAAGATCAAGATGGTTTTTCCTATTGTATTCAGTAAAATTCCTTGAAATCTCAACCCATGAATGTCTTGCTGTACAGCTTGTCACCAGAGTACAAAAGCCTTCTGATTTCCAGCCACACGTGTGTGCTTCATCTGATTAAGTGTCCAAATTAGCCTCAGAAGCCCTTATTCTCAGGCAAAAGGACAGTTAACATTTCCAAACAGCTAGTGAGTTTTTAATTCATTGCAAATATACATATATATGTAAAATAATGATTTTATATATACATATATATAATCATTATTATATATTATATATAAAGATATATATATCTTTATATATATATATATACACTTAATTATGAGCCTACTGTGTTCAGTCGATGGTGAACATGACTTGGGGCTTGACCCTTAGAGGTTAATAGGATATAGTTGCTCAAAGGCAACTCTGTGTTTGCACTGCGGCGTCATTTTAATCATTTACACAGTTCAGTGGCTAACTTGCTGGACTGTCCAAATCTTCCTAGCAGTCAGTCTCAGTAGTAAGGAGAGGCCATATCTACATAAATGGACAAAGGCCTGCCCACATCAAAAATAGGTCAAGTCAGACCCATGCAGCAAAGTGTTCAATGGCCCGATGAGTTTGGCCAGTTTTGATTATTCAAGCAACTGTAAGCTGATAGGAGAATTCAGACAAAGATTTCCTCCATACATGATAGTGGTGCCATTCACAAACTGCCGGGCACCCAAGATACAGCAAGAAAAGACACCTGCCTTGTCGCCAGAGAGTAGACCATACTGTGGGGCAGAAGCACGGATGACTTCCCTTGCCATGGAGTCAGTGGTCTGCAAGGGTGGAAGCAGGAAGTCCCGGAGAGTGTGAGCTGAAGGTGCTCGGGGGAAAGTCCGACTTACCCGGTTGTTTCCTGTCTGGTCCTTATAGTAAATCCAGTTCAGGCTCTCATCTGTCCTGTATTGCACGCTGTACTTGGTCATCCACTCATCGATATCACAGCGCCCCTGGGTGAGGATCCCTGAAATCACCTTGACCTCCTTCAGATCTATCTGCAGCCACTGGCTGCTATCCTGGTACTTGGAGAGCCAGGCGCACCTGCCAGGGACACAGCAAATCACCAGGGGCCTTTCCCCATGAGCACGTCCAAAGAGCTGAGAGGGACCGTCCTTGGAGGGGTTGTCAGCGCCCGAAGAACCTGTGCAGAGCTCGGGCAGGCTGAGCATTGTTAAGCACCAAGAGCCTGTCTCCGAGAAGTGCCCAGCCTCTGTCATACTTGCATCATCCTCTTTCTCCCTGCATCACCACTGCGCAAAGACCAATGGCCAGATGGAACTGATTGGTCCAAGCAGTGCCTCAGAATGTAGCTGAAATCCCCTTTGGGGTGTGGTTGAACAGGTCTTACTTCAAAACACGAAAATGCATGGTTAGGACACCTGCCAGCCCCCTTCCCTTTTCATTAGTCTCTCCCAATGACTCTCCATGAGTCTTACCCTAGTTTCACTCCCTTTATACCTATCTGCATCGCCTTCAGGTGCTGTCATTTGTGGCTTTCAGAGAGTGTCTCCCTGTGCACCGAGCCCCTCTGGAAGAGCTTTCAACAGTTGTAAAGCAAAGAACCGTTGAAGGAACTGATTTGTCTTTTAGCTATATCCCCCCTGAATTGTGGAAACCTGTAATTTCCCCTTTGAGGTTTTTATTTATTTTTGGCATATTAGTTAGCTTCTTGGAACTCAGTCCTTGGCTGCTTTTTCTTCTAACTCCAGACTTGCTCCTTGGGTGGCTCTTGACTTTTTAACTCCCATCCCAGACCTTTTCCCAACTCCAAAATCTGAGAGTCAGTTGCTGTCTAGATAACTTCTAGATGCCTTACACTATCCCAAATGAAACCTGTCCAAGAGTGAACTCCTAATTGTCTCCACCGCAACTTCTCCTTACAGTATCCATCTCTTTCTTGGAAGGCTACCTCCATCCTCCTGGGTGTTCATGCCAGTGATCTGAGAGAGAGCCTTGGCCCCTTCCTCTCTGTCACCTCAAACATCCAATCCATCTATTGAGTCCATCTCAAATGTTTCTCAAATTCTTTATTTACTTTTCTCTACTTCACTGGCACTGCTCTAGCCCACATCATCCTCAGTTCTTATCTGGATGATTGCTACTTTCGCTCCTTAGTCTCCCGGGTTGCCCCCCGCCAAAACAGTTTTCCCCCCTCAGGAGCCAGATTTTTCTTAAAACACAAGTCAGATTGTGATACTCCCCAACCTGAAATCTTTCTCTGGTAGAGTCTGCTAATTGTCTCCCAATATCCTCTTCCCATTTTCCTTTAGTCATAGAATACCGCAGAAAACCACCGTCACCACCACCACCGAGTTTTATGTGGGCAAATGGTCACCCAGCAGAGTTAATATTTCCCAGTCTCCTGTGCAGCTAGATGGGACAATCTGACCAAATTCTGATTACTGGGATGTGGGCAAAGTAGCCAAATGATTATGCTTCTGTCCTTAAAAGAAAAGTGTGTGTGCTCTGCTCTTCTTTTCCCCCCACTGACTAGAATGCAGTTGTGATAGTGGAAGCGAGGGCAGCCATTCTGGGCCCCAAGATGGAAGCTTCATGTGAAGAATGACAGACAGGGTAGAAAGAGTCTGGAACCCAGGTACCATTAGCCATCATGTCAACCCTACACTGCCTAATAAAACTTTTAGGTGACCAAGAAACAAACCTCCATATTATTTAAGTCCCCATACTTTGAGGCTCTTTGTTGTAGCAGCACAATCTTATATTCTAACTAAAGCACATTCAGGGAACTCTCATGCCTAAAATGAGGACCATAATCCTTAACATGTAACTCCACGATCTGACTTCTGCCTATCTCTCTCGCCTTATCTCACTTGTGCCCTAACTTTGCTGACCTTTACCATCCCCATGCGTGCCCTTCAGGGATAGTCCTGGCTAAGGGCCTTTGCACCTGCTGTATTCTGTCCCCGCACCCCCTCCCCCGCCGACCCCTCCCCCAACCAACTGCAAGTCTCAGGTTAAATATCTTTTCCTTAGAAAGGCTTCCCTAGTACTTCAAATGAATGAAGTCTTTCTTCTTTGTCTCCTCCACAAGCATTTATCACACTTACTAGATGATCAGTCATGTGATTATGTGCTTAGAGTCCCTCCGGCCCTCTAAACCGCGTGCTTTTTGAAGTCTGGGGCCTCATCCACCTTGACCACAGTCCTCAGCACATGGGAGGCACTCAAGGAATATTTGTTGAGTACATAAATAAATGCATCCTGCCATTCGCTTATTACCGAGACGTACAGTTTCCCAATCACGTGAAAACAAATCGCCTGAGCCATCTGCCCTCCTTACCCAAAGCCTTGACTGTTGAGCCGGGCCTTGTTAGCTGTCCACGAGGAATACCAGCCCACATACTGCTCCAGGTTGGAGCAGGTGATCTGGTCTGGTGTGACCTCCCCTGACTCAAACCCCAGAGGCTTATGATACGGGCACTCTGGAAAAGAAAAGGCAACACACATTACAACACTCGCAGCACATCGCAACTCTCGACCAACACGACGTGACTGAAATGACAAATCAAACCGTCTCGCTTGCACTTTTGGGAGGTTGAGAACGTTTTGCTCGGCAGCGCAGTTCACGGCGCTTTAGCCTACTTACTGCTCCTAGAAGAGAGTGAAGAGGAAGTACAAGGATTGCCATAGAGACTCACAACATTCGTAAAAGCAGACGAAAGGGGCTCTATGGCAACCTGAGGTGGGGGGTGCTGAGAAATACTTCACCTCCTCCACAAAGCTAGACATTTAAAAAACCAAGAGGTTCGCAGAGAAATATCATACTTAAATGCCATACTCTATTTTCCTCATGAAAACAGTTTTAGCCGTCCTGCATGATGACCTCAGGGTCCCTAATTGTCCTCCAGCAGCATGGGATGCTAAAGATAGGAACAAAACAATGGTGAGAGGCAAGAAAGGCAATTATATATTGAGAGTGATTTCTCACTCATAAATTGCGGTTTTCTCACTAGTCTAATGGAAAAAAATAAAAGTGGGGGGGGGTGAAATGTGCCTGAGTGACTGTTGAATGAGGTACAGTTGAAAGGAGCTGTTTTTTCCAAACGAGAATAGTCAAAGCTGGTTCTTGGATGTTAACTGTTTGCTGCTTGTCGTGTATTTCTTCTCGCATTTTAGTGTTGGCTTACCTGGTCAAAGACTTTTGCCTAGCATCCATTCTCCCCTTCTTTTTTGGCAAAAGAGCCCTAATTTTGTTGGTCAGCAATGTAACCAGCTTAAAAAAAAAAATCTTTCCCAGTCTCTTTTGCAGTTAGAAGTGACCGCATGATACAATTTCTGACCACTGAGATATGAGACGATGCCTACTGGGGATTTCTGATCAGTTTTGGGTCGCCCCTTCTTTCTTCCTGTTGCCTAGAAGGAAAATCTGATGGCTGGTACAGTGCTAGCCATCTTGCACAATGAGGGTAAGGCTGAAAGAACTGCAGAGACCTCAGCCCTGATGTCCTTACTACATGAGTCAAAACAAAAGTAATTTAATAAGCCACTCCTTAGGGGATTCTCTTATAATCAAACACAGGTCCTAGCTAAATCTCTATAGAAAACAAATGATAAACTTATACATTCTTCCCTTTTCCTGATTGTAATGATAAACAGCAAGTGGGTTATATTTTTTTTTCCGGTGTAAATTTGAGTTCAGATCGAAGAGCTAAACATATTTACCGGGACATCCTCCCATCCCAACAGTAAGATGAGTGCTGAGGTCTTTCTCAAGGATAATTTTCCAAAGTCACTAAGACAAAATGAAGCATGCAAAAGCTTGAGACCAGAATGCCCACACTGTGGTCATGCCCTGTCCTCAGAGACTAAAGACAGAAAGACAGCCTCAGGCCTCTGACCAGGGAGGCTTCACTGCCTTTTTGCCCCGTGCACCAAAGGGAAGGGGCCAACCCCCGCCAGCAGCTGCAGCTCAATGGGGCTGGAGGTGAGGGGACCCCATTGTAGTTCATCTAGTACCCAAGGCTTCAGGAGTTTTTTGTTTTTTTTTTTTAAGATTTTATTTATTTATTTGACAGAGGGAGAGAGATCAAAAGTAGGCAGAGAGGCAGACAGAGAGGGAAGAAGAAGCAGGCTCCCCGCCAAGCAGAGAGCCCGACGTGGGGCTCGATCCCAGGACCCTAGGATCATGACCCGAGCTGAAGGCAGAGGCTTAACCCACTGAGCCACCCAGGCGCCCCTTCAGGAGTCTTTTAATAGAGAATGGGAATTCCTGGGGGCGAGAACAGGAGTGCTTGATGGGCCCCTCGATCATACCTTGTGTGGTCAAATCCTCAGGAGGGCTTGCTAAGGAGGCAGTTTCCAGTATTCTCCCCCCAACCCCCACCCCTGCAGCAGCCTTTGTTTTTAACAAGCAGACTTTCAAAGCGCACTTTGGAAACCTTGGCCTGTCGGGGAAACCTTTGTTGGTTGGCAGATTCAGGGGCCTAGTGCCTGTGGCCTTGGGGCCTCCTCCACCTCCTCAATTCCCCTCTGACCTGGAAGACAAGCCCTTACCTCCAGAAAGAGGGACAAGGTCCCAGTGCCAGAAAGCTGGGTTTCAGTTGGGCCAAAGGTTGTCACTTAAATACTAACTGTGGGGGTCTCTAAGGCCCCTCCATCCTGAGCCTCCCCTTTCTCTCTCGGAGGCTGCCAGCTTGGAGGGCAGGAGCAGAGGGGAAGGAAAAGCCATTAGCCCGCTCCTGATGGCTTTATTCTTGACATGTTGCTCTTTCTCTGTTTTCCCCTCACAACTCTTTTGCCATTTCTTTCCAAGTAGCCCATCTAGTAGTTAAGAGGCTGTTGACAGCAGAAGCAGCTCTCCGCTGGGTGGATTTGAACGGTCTAGGTCTCAACAGGAATTAGCTGGTGGTGCTAGAGGAGGTGACTGGAGATTCTGGACTCTGACCTTTGCAGGGGGAAAGGGGGGTGCTCGTGAGGGGCCTGAGCTCAGCGGGGACATGCTTCCTCTGAGGGGGCCGGACCACGGAGAGGGTCAGGGAGACCCCCCCCTCAGGAAACCCGGAAAGGTCCCCGGGACTGAGCTGAGCTTGGTTCAGAGGGAGAAGAGCCGCCACCAAGGCGGCCTCCTTCAGGTGGGGTTGTGGGCCAGCCTGAGAGCCTGCCACCTAGCCTGAGCCTGAGCCCTGCGCCCAGGCCGCCCTCGCACGCCCATGGGGGTTTCCTGTCATCCAAGGAGAGAGCGAGGACCTTTAACAATCCTGTCTTCAGACTCCTTACAGGCCATGACAAAGGAGGCCTCAAACTGGAGTCATTTCAACTTGGAAAAATAGGAAATGTGACATTTCTCATGCTCTGTGTGCTTTGCTGTAAACGGCAGTCAGGTTAAGTTATTATTTTTCCTGACTCCTCCTTCCCCCTGTCCTCCTCCTTCTGTGGTCCTGGCTGAGCTCCCTTTTGGTCCTCATGCAGGCCTGGAGGCCTTCCGTCGAGGCTGTTCCCTCTGCCTGGGACACTCTGGTCCCCTCTCCTCCCCCTTCACCTGGACAACTCTACTCGTCCTTAAGATCTCTGCCCACTTCCCCTTCCCACCCTGAGCTGGGTAAAGGGACTCCAGCTGCTGCCTTCCCAGACCCTGTCCCTGTCCCTGTCACTTACTCGCTGTCCTTCTGATGATTTAATTGTCAGCTCCCTGGTCTGTCTGGCTCACCATTCTATCCTCTGAGCTGAGCCGAATGCCTGTACGTGCTAGGCACTCGATAGTTATTGACGGGATGGTGAATGAAGGGGTCAACCAAGATTATCCCCCGTCTTGGGTGACCGCTAGGAATAAGCAGAGAGGACAGCAGAAACAGGAAGCGGGAGAGCTCAGGGAGGAAATAGAGGTTGCCCAGCTCCTAGAACACCGCCCTGAGCAAGAAGGAACTGTCACCTGAGTATCAACTAGGATTCGGCAACACGAATAATGTTGCTGGAGGAATTAAGGGGATTGTCAACAGACGTACACGGGATATGGCCTTCCCACGTTTTCTGCCCAATAGAAGTTAGCGCGGCTCCGATGCCTGTTTTTACACTCATCTTCAGTAGGAAAGGTATGTTTCTACATTCATTTTAAGGAAAAACCTATGTCTTCCTTGGCACAACGGGCTCTTCTGGGTGAGTGATGCTTTGTTCACTCAATGGATAAAGGCATATTCATAACGTGCTGCTAATCGAGGCTCTACTTAACACACTGGCCTTTCTCATTCAGTAGCTGATTCCTCAGTTGGAAGGTGTGAAGGCCACACAGGCTTCTAAAGAAGACTAACCTCGAGAAACACAGGGAGAGCTGAGGGACGTTCTTGACAAGAGAGAGATGAATATTAATATGCATGTGTATGACACTTGAACCTATATGGCCGTGTAGCAGAATATCGAATAATAATGTTTATAGGATAAAGGAGAAACTCAAAAATAATATAGGAATATAAAATCTTGAATAAAAGGAAAGCAGTAACGAATCATCGGATTTATTGTATTTTGATACTTTCCTTACCCTGTTTCCCCTTTGGAGTGCCAAGGTGATCTTAGCTTGACTGTGGAAGACAGATCCTTTAGTAATTTTAGTAATTTTCATAATTTTTAGAGCAAGGAGGCTACAAGGCACCCAGCCAGTCACCTTCTCCAGTGGGGACACTGGACAGTAACAGCCAGTGTATGCCTGGGAGGACCTCCCAGCAGCTCTGAGTGACCCTCCCTCCTGTCCTTCTGTACTTTCTAGGCTCTTCTTCCCACCTAAGGCGGGCTCTGGCGGAAGCGCTGAATCTCAGGGGCCAGAGAAACCAAGCAACGTTCTTAACATTCCACTGAGGACCTGAGGCACTGATGGGGCAAGTGACTTCTGGAATATTGTGGCTAGTCCCGCTGCCCTGAATCGTCTCTTTCATTGGAAAAACCCATTAACACCAACGTATCAACTCTTTCACACTTAGGTTGCATTTTTTTTCCTTCCTGGAAACATCTGTGCTATTAAAAAATAAAACAAAAGCAAAAACAACCCAAAAAACTGGTGGGGAGAGGAGAGCACTTTCTGATTTCAGAATTTCAAGTTCATGGCAGGCGTGTGGGGAAAGAGCTTGGGGGATGGAAGGGGGAAGGGGTCGACTTGACATTCCTGAAACACACAGCCTTCTTCAGCCTCACAGTTGATAGATCTATGAAGCCAATCTGCATAAATAATTTTTTTTTCAAGTTGTTTGTAGAAAGGACGTCAAGTGGAATTCCAGTCGGCCTTCAGGGCTCTCGTGAAGAGAGCATTTGTCCCCACCGCGTGGGAAACTTTCGGGTGGAGCTAATGCCCTCGTTTTCATTATGGCACATAATAGGCGCAGGACGAGAATGGGTGGGATTGTTACGGAGGGTGTTTCGGTGTTGACTGGGCGGATCTCCGCCGTCTAGAGGGTTTGCGGGGAACGCAGAGGGTGGGACCTGCCCCCGAAGCCCACCACACTCAGCCGCGCTTCCTGCTTTGCCCACCGGCCGGAGCCCGCCCTCGCCCGTACACAGCTCGCAAACCACTCCTACCCCTTTAGTAAATAGGAAGAGGGAGGCAGTAAAAGCCATTGTAGACTCCCCTGCCTCCCCCACAATTTGCTATTTTAATGCAAATTTAATGAAATAATGAAGAGAAGCTCACACATGGACACACATACTGTCTCTAGCGGAGCTATTATTAGGCGATTATGTAAAGAGAATGACTTGGCACGGCGCCATCGTAGCCCTGGGGAGGGGTGACAAAGACAGTCGCCAGCAGGAGAGGCTGTGAGCCAAGGAAAGGACGGAGCGCAGCGGGGATTTGCCGGGCTCCCCGGCCTCCGAAAGTCCGAGTGTGAGCTCTCAGGGGGCGGGAAGAAAAGGACCGGACCTTTATTAAGCTGCAGTTTGCTGGGGATAACACAAAATGCTTTTCGTGCCGCCTCCAATTTATCCCTCGTCACGGCAGCTTAGAGCCGGGGTGGGGGGGGGGGGCGTCAGCGAACTGTGGTCCTTGAGTCAAATGTGGCTCCCCACCTGTTTTTGTAAATAAAGTTTTATTGGCACACAGCCATGCACTGTGGCCCTGCGTCCCGTCTATGGCTGCTTTTGCCTTATGGGGGTTAGAATTGAAGAGCTGAGCCCCTTAGACCTGCAAAGTCGTAGATATTTACCATCTGGTCCTTTACAGACAAAGTTTGCTGGCATTCATAGTGGCCAGGAAAGGCTATGTTATGCTGCAAAACAAATTGTCTTGAAAATTGCACAGGCTTTAAGACAACAAACGATTATTTTTCACCCAGGTGACTTGTCCATTATAGGTTGGAAGGGGGTTTTCTGCTCCATTTAATGTCCTGGGACCCACCCTGAAGGAGAATGAATGCACTTTCTCAAGCACAGAAGGGAGAGCCAGAGTTGAGTACCAGCCCTTAGATGCTCAGTTTGGAAGAGACACTGCTCACTTTGGCTGGAACTGCTCACAGAGTGCTATGTGACTACAAGCAGGCTGGAACCTGGGGAAGCACATGGTTGTTTGGTGAGCAATAAACCCTCAGCATAGTACTGTCACCTCCCTTTGACAGAAAAAGACCAAAGTGGGAGTCCCAGAGTTAAGAAATGAGGCAGCCAGGGTCCTACCTCTGGTGTTTCTGGCTCAGAAGCCTGTGTTCTTTTCAAAATGCCCCACCTCCTACCACTGATTTATTTTCCTAAATTCCATGAGTCTATTTCATTGAAAATAGATCCCAACTCGCCTTCTCACATAGGCCAAGGAAAGACGCAAGAAGCTGTTTCTAAACAACGACATCAGTGTGGTATGTTGGAACAGTGGCCGTTCTGTGATTTGAAGCTCAGAGGCCAACTGTGCGTTGGGGAAGGGGGTGGCTAATTGAGCCAGGTTGAAGGGAAGAGAAGAAATGGTGTTCTTAAGGACACCCCAAGGATCTGGTGCCCTAAGGAGAAGGGACACTCACCTGGTATGCAATCTAAGGAGGTTGTACCAGCAGACCACAGGACATTGGCACCTCCTTGGCAATTGCATTTGCACACTTTCTGGTACCAGGGGTCCTCAACCTCATCCTGTGGGAAGCCAGAGGAGCAGGAGTTTCAGTCATAGTCAAATTCAACTCTGGCCAGAGCCACTGGAAAAATTTGTGTTAAAAACCCTTGCTCATAGAGGCGCCTGGGTGGCTCAGTGGGTTAAAGCCTCTGCCTTCGGCTCCGGTCATGATCCCAGGGTCCTGGGATCGAGCCCCACATCAGGCTCTCTGCTCAGCAGGGAGCCTGCTTCCTCCCTCTCTCTCTCCACCTGCCTCTCTGCCTACTTGTGATCTCTGTTAAATAAATAAATTAAAAAACAAAAACAAAAACAAAAAAACCTTGCTCATGAGTGCCTGGGTGGCTCAGTCAGTTGAGTGTCTGCCTTTGGCCCGGGTCCTGATCCCAGGGTCCTGGGATCAACCCCCAAGTTGGGCTCCCTGCTCAGCAGGGAGCCTGCTTCTCCTCTCTCTGCCTGTCTTTCTGCCTACTTATGCTCTCAGTCTCTGTCAAGTAAGTAAATAAAATCTTTAAAAAAAAAAAAAAAGATTCAAGATTCAAGATTACACCACCTGTATTAAGACCTGGTTTACTTACATTCTCTCATTAAAACACCAGTCTTGAACTTGCCCAGAGAAAAATATCCTATTACCACCACCAGAATAAAGTATCTTAAAAAAATACCTTTTTCGGGGCGCCTGGGTGGCTCAGTGGGTTAAGCCGCTGCCTTCGGCTCAGGTCATGATCTCAGGGTCCTGGGATCGAGTCCCACATTGGGTTCTCTGCTCGGCAGAGATCCTGCTTCCCTCTCTCTGTCTCTGCCTGCCTCTCCATCTACTTGTGATCTCTCTCTGTCAAATAAATAAATAAAATCTTTAAAAAAAAAAAAAATACCTTTTTTAAAAAAAGTGATAACCCTACACATTATTTTGAGCTAGAAAAATCTTCAAAAGCAGCCTTCTTGGGGCGCCTGGGTGGCTCAGTGGGTTAAAGCCTCTGCCTTTTACTCGGGTCATGATCTCAGGGTCCTGGGATCGAGCCCCAAGTCAGGCTCTCTGTTCCGCGGGAAGCCTGCTCCCCCCACCCTCCTCTGCCTGCCTCTCTGCCTACTTGTGATCTCTGTCTGTCAAATAAATTAATTTAAAAAAAAAAAAGCCTTCTTACTGTAACATACCTCAGTAGATGATAATCCCAGTGTGGCTAAACAAAAAGACAAGAGAGAGGAAAAAATTAAGTTAAAAAAAGAAACAAATTCAACAAATTTATTCATTCCATGTAAAATAAAATGAAAATAGTCACATAAAAGTTAACAAAGCCCCTTCTGGAAGAAGTCGAAGTAAGTAAATGTAAATATCTGCTAGGAATAACATCCACGGATGCTGAAAAACTAGGGACAGTGAAATTAAACAGACAAGGATAATAACTGTTATTATTTTAAAGTGAACTCTCCCCCCAAAATGTGGCTCCAACTCACGACCCCAAGATCAAGAGTCACATGCTCTACTTACTGAGCCAGCCAGATGCTCATATTGTTTTTGTTTTTTATAGAATTTTGGAAAATACATTAATGTAACAAAGAGGAAAAAATGCACCTGTATTTCTTATCACCAAAGGCAACACTGTTAACATTTTTGTATAAATCTTCCCAGTCTCTTTTTCTTTGTGAATTTTTTCAAACGCATCTGAGAGCCTACTACCTAAGCAATGCCTCCAATTTACATTTACATTGTTAAATTCGACATTGACAGTGCCAGCTTTTCCCTTTACTTATTAAGCCTCCATCATCATTGTCAGCCCTAGTGTCTGCCAAGTGTGCTGTTCAGGAGCTGATTCCTGGCCCTTTCCCCACAACCCTGTGGCACAGCTAGGTTATTTAGGATTACCACATTGTTCAGAAAATCTTTTTAAGGTTTATTTATAATGTACGGGAAATATCAAGCCACAAAGTACAAATACTGCGTAATTAACATGGGAAAAATATGTTTGCAAAATTTAACATAAAACTAACATCTAAACTATCTTCATAGAAGTATGAGTAAAGAGAACGAACGCACAATTTATTTTAAAACATTTTTAATTTAAATTCCATTAATTAACATATGATGTATTATTTATTTCAGAGGTACAGGTCTGTGATTCATCAGTCTTACAGAACACTCGTTGCTCATCATGTCACGTGCCCTCCTTAAGGTCCATCACCCAGTTAACCCATCCCCCCCCTCCAGCAACCCTCAGCTTGTTTCCTATGATTAAGAGTTTTTTTTTTTTTTTAATTTTTATTTATTTATTTGACAGACAGAGATCACAAGCAGGCAGAGAGGCAGGCAGAGACAGAGAGGGCAGCAGGCTCCCCACTGAGCAGAGAACCTGATGCGGGGTTTGATCCCAGGACTCTGGGATCATGACCTGAGCCGAAGGCAGAGGCTTTAACCCACTGAGTCACCCAGGCGCCCCTGATTAAGAGTTTCTTACGGTTTGTCTCTCTCTCTGGTTTCGTCTTGTTTTATTTTTTCCTCTCTTCCCCTATGGTCCTTTTTTTGTTTCTTAAATTCCACATGTCGGTGAGATCATATAATTGTCTTTCTCTGATTGACTTGCTTCACTTAACATAGTACCCTCTAGTTCGTTCCATCCACATCGTTGCAAAAGGCAAGATCTCATTCTTTTTGATGACTGCATAATATTCCATTGTGTATATGTATATGTCCCACATCATCTTTACCCATTCATCTATTGATGGACATCTGGGCTCTTTCCATAGTTTGGCTACTGGGGACATTGCTGCTATAAACGTTCGGGTGCATGTGCCCTTTGGATCACTACATTTGTATCTTTGGGGTAAATACCCAGTAGTGCAATTGCTAGGTCATAGGGTAGCTCTATTTTCAAGTTTTTGAGGAAACTCCATACTATTTTCCAGAGGTGAATACACAATTTAGTAGGAAAAGAGTTAGAATACATTAGCATAAAATGCTTAAGCTCTGCTGCCCGATGTATAACCACTAGTCCCATGAGGCTATTTGCCCTTAAATTATTTAAAATTAATAAAATTAAACATACAGGATGCCTGGGTGGCTCAGTCGGTTAAGTGTCTGCCTTCAGCTCAGGTCATGATCCCAGGGTCCTGGGATGAATCCCGTGTCAGGCTCCCCGCTCAGCTTGGAGCCTGCTTCTCCCTCTCCCTCTGCCCCTCCCCCAGCTTGTGCTCTCTCTCTCTCTCTCTCTCTCTCTTTCTCAGAAATTATGTAAATAAATAATAATCTTTTTAAAAATGAGCAAAAGTTTTTAAAAATTAAATTAAACATTCAATTCCTCAGTCACACCAGCCACATTTCAATGGCTTCCTGGTCACATATGGCTAGTGGCTGATGTACTTACTGCACAGGTATAGAACATTTTCATCATAGTAAAAGCTTCCATTAGACAGTGCTTGCAGGTTTAAAGGCCCAGAGCTCCATTTCCCATTTTCAACAAAACAGATACCTTCATTTCCCTTCTGATTATAAAAACAACACATACCTATTATAAAAATCTGGAACAAAGCTTGAGAGTAGGCAATAGGAAATAAACCACTTTCCTATCTAAAAGTTGAATCTGATGCCCACAAAAAGACCTTTCAGATTGTTTAAGAGAATAAAGGAATGGCCTCATCTTTTGTGTCACCATTTTAAGAGCTATCTTTTTCAAATTTTGCCTTCATTTAAATACTACGTATTTATCTGTTCTGCAAACCACTTTTTCATGTCCAGTGTGAGCTGGCACCGCACCAGGGCCTGGGCCTTCTGAAATGGAAGCCTCCCTCTCTGCCCACAAGGGGCTGGAGGACCCAGGAGAAGACAGAGCACTGGACATTGCACGGGGTGAGGACTCTCCCAGGTTGCTCATGGGCAGCAGTGGGAGGCCAGGGGAGCATATCTTTTAGAGCATTTCAGGGCTACCTCTCACCTGTGGTCACCAAACTGCTGTCTCCCCCTGGGCCCTTGTTTACAGGTTATTCGTTGTTCCTAGAGATTCCCCGGTCTACCTGCTATGGGCAGAATTGATCCTCTCAGGTTGAGACAAAGGTTGGGAGTGTCATCTTAGAGGCCAAGCCCTGCGTTGGCAAAAGAATTTACTGACTTCTTATTTTTGCATCCAATGGACTCTTTCCAACACTGACCTTATGTCTTCAGGCTCCAATGTGCTCTCAGTCCCTCCCATCTTCCTTTAGTTTCCATCCCACTGTTCACCTGGTTCTCCCATCACTCTGAATATCCTCTCAGTCTCCTTTGAGAGCTCTGCTTCTTCTACCGACCTCATAAATATTCCTAAGCCCAAGATTCCATCTCTTGCTTTGAATGGTTTACCAGGTATCTCCCCATAGATGTCTCTTACTATCTAAAATTGGACCCAACCAAGTCTTGGAGCAATGGTCATAGAGCAACCTGAGCTCTCATTGTGTTGCTGGTGGGGATGTAAGTCAGTCTAACTTCTTTGAAAAAACTATTTGGCAGCTTACGTTAAAGTGGAACATACATGTGTCCTATGAAGCAGGAACTCGACTCTTCGGTATCTACCCACCAGAAATGCATACATATGTTCTCCATGTGCTAGATCACCTATAGCAGCAGTATTTGTATTAACCCCAAACTGGAAAGGCTCGTATGCCCATCAAGAGTAGAATGGGTAGGGGCACCTTGGTGGCTCAGTTGGTTAAGTGTCAGACTCTTGATTTCAGCTCAGATGGGGATCTCAGTGTTGTGAGATCGAGTCCTCATCGGGCTCTGTGCTGGGCATAAAGTCTGCTTAAGATCCTCTCTCTCTCTCTCTTTCTGCCCCTCCACACGCCCCCCCTTCTGTCTCTCCCACTCTTAAAAAAAAAAAAAAAGAGTAGAATGGGTACAGGTGGCAAACTCAGACTCACAGAATACTGAACTGCAAAGAAAATGGACGACGTGCACGCCATGCCACAATATGGCTGCCTCTCACGAACAATGCTGAGGAAAGCCAGACACTAAAGTGGACACACCACATGAATCCATTTGAAATGTACAGAAGCAGGCAAAAGTAATCTATGCCATTAGACACTAGGGTCCTGGTCACATTTGGAGCAGGAAGTGGCAGGGAGGAAGGCTGGGGAGGCTCTCTGGGGAGGGGCTGGCGATGTTCCGTTACTTGACCAGAGTACTGGTTACGTGGATGTGTTCAGTAGTGAAAATTCACTAAGCTATAAACACTTACCTGTGCTTTTCTGTATGTATATCATACTTAAATACTAGTATGTATGCTATACTTCAATAGAAAGGTTTTTTAAAACAGAACTCATTACATCCTTCCTCAAATTTTCTTTTCCTTTATTTCTTATCCTACTGAATGGCTTCCCCATCCACTTAGCACCCCATCTAGAGACATGGGGCTTGTCTTAGTCACCTTTTCCCCCTAAAGCCATACCCCCAGTGTCAAGCAGGGGCCTTTCCCTCTCTACGCCACCACCGTCACTTCCCATGTTCAGCCCCCCATCTCCCTGCCCCCATACGCTCCCTGCTGGAGAGACCTTGTCTCGTCCACCTGTCATGCTGCCTGTGGAATGGGATGCACACCTGATTGTGTCACTCTCTTGCTGCAAAACCTTTGGTGGGTCCTCATTGCAGGGCTCCAGGTTCTATCTCTCATTTACCTGTTGAATGGCCACATCTCTCCATTTCCTCATCCTTAAAATGGGTACGATAGTAATGTGTCTTTCAAGAGGCCACCATGATCTAGCTCCTGCCTCCCTCTTCAAATGTATCTTTTGCATGTTCTACTAGCTGCAATTCATGTCTGTCTGGTCTCTTAGGTTTAAAGTCTCTCATTTTCCAGGGTGCCTGGGTGGCTCAGTGGGTTAAGCCTCTGCCTTGGGCTCACATCATGGTCCCAGGGTCCTGGGATCGAGCCCTGCATTGGACCCTCTGCTCAGCAGGGAGCCTGCTTCCCTCTCTCTCTGCCTGCTTGTGATCTCTCCCTCTCTCTCTGTCAAATAAATAAAAAAACTTTTTTTAAAGATCTTATTTATTTGACAGAGAAGGGCAGGCGAGAGAGAGAGAGAGAGAGAGAAGCAGGCTCCCTGCTGAGCAGAGAGCCTGATGCGGGGCTCGATCCCAGGACCCTGGGACCATGACCTGAGCCCAAGGCAGAGGCTTAACCCACGGAGCCACCCAGATGCCCCAATAAATAAAATCTTAAAAAAAAAAATGATAAAGTCTCTCCTCTTCCAACTTTTCTGCCTGCCTATCCCCTTCCCTGTGCAGAGGACTTCTTCTGTGCCCCCCTCCCCCCACCATGTACAACTCACCACTTGCTCTGGCTTGTGTCCTGCCTTTCGCGTGCACAGGTTTATGTAAGCACCTGTACAGTTACAGAAATTGATATAAAAGATACCTGCCAATGACTGGTCCCAAAGCATTTATTCTTTAAGTAATATTCATTGAGTATCTACTAAATTCCAGGCCCAGCTCTAGGTGTTGGGGATACCGCAGCTAACAAAATAGGAGGAGGACCAGCCGTCATAGGGTGTGCGTAGCGCAGGCTGCGGGTGATCAGGGCTAATGAATGAACGAATAAGATATCCGGCAGCGAGAAGGTGGCCTTGGAGCAAAGACCTGAAAGAGGCAAGAGACTCGTGAGCAAAGCATTCTGGGCAGAGGGAACAGCAAGTAGAAAGGGCCGGAGGTGGGAGGCTTCTGGGTGGGCGCTTGGTGTGCTCTAGACAGACCAAGGAGACCCTGGGGCTGGAGCAGGTGAAGGAAAGAGCGTTTCAGGAGATGAAGGGGTCAAGTGGGCGGCCAAGAGGGCTTGGCCCAGGTGGAGGCAATGCAGAGGAAGAGACATGGCTGGATTCTGACCGTCTTTGGACGGCAGCCAACAGTACTTGCTGACAGGAGACCGGGGTGTGAGAGAAAGAGAGGTTTAAGGCCTGAGAGACTGGGAGGGGAGAGCTGCCATTTCCTGGGGGAGGGAAGTTTCCAGGAGGAACAGGGACTGCGGGGGATGGAGTGAAGATGTTCCCTCTGAGAGGCCTGTGGGCCATGCGAGGGTTGAGGCTGAGTGGCTCCGGGCGGGCAGCTCCTGGAGCCCAGGGGAAAGCCCAGGCCGGCTGGCTGGTACATTGGGTGAGCACGGGAACCCGGAGCCTTCGTCCCTCCGCTGCTCCCCGGGAACGGTGGAGTAGAGGAACGAGTGGCATCGAATCTAGTAGATTCGGGGGTGGTTAATCCAGGAGGCACTGGGCTCCACCCCATCTTCAAGATGGCTGAAAGGCGGGCAGGCCTGTCAGCTGGGCAAACCTCAATTGTGCCAAGACCCTCTTGTTGGGGGGGGGGCAGTGGATCAAAGGGGAGGCGTGCGGGCCACTGACAGTATGGATTTAATAACCAAATCAGTTTGGCCCAGAGCCTGTGTCTGTCACTGAGGAGGGTTCTTGTGGCTGCAAATGAGCAAACCCAGAGATCCAGTGAGAACCCTACTCGTTTCCAAGTGGGCCCTGGGCGTTCTGCATTCTGCAGAAATAAAGCAGAAGGCCAAAAGGAAAGGGTGTGTGTGTGTGTGTTTCTGCCACTGTGTGCTCGCGGAGAGCAAGCATCTTGAGAGGAAGGCCGACTTTCAGAGCCACTTCCTGTGTCCAGTCAGATGTTGGGCAGATTTCTGATGTTTTTTTCCCTTCCAGGCTCCCCTCCCCAGAAAGCGTTCGTATATAGGCAGCCCCGGGGATCTGAGACACCGGATCCTTATGGAAACGAGCAGAGAGAGAAGCAACAGCAAGCATTTTACAGGAAAAGCTGTCACCCAGGGAGCAGCACCGTGGCTGGATAGTTCCCGAAATGATTTAATCACCAAAAAGCCGGTGAACAAAAGCAAAAGTGTGTTTGACTACAACATCTTATAATACCAGAAAATAACATTGCCAGAATGAGCAGCAGAAAACAGGTCAACCTTGAAAGGAAAAAGAGCAAAAGATTTTGATTTGTGTGGTTGCATATTTTTCTCCCTCTTTGGATTGTTTGTGAGATTTCTGCCCATGCTATGGTTTTCCACTCGAGCGTCTGAGATGGCTCCCACTCACTGATCTCAGATTTATGCCACATGGGCTCATTCTGCCCTTTTGCCCAAAGGGCCACTCCATGGGGAGACCCTTGTTCCCACAGCAAGAAAACTCAAGGCTTGCTATCTCTCAGAATGTACCTTGCAAGCCCAAGAGGAAAAGTAGGCATTAGACACACAGAGGAGAGACTCTGGGTCTTTTTGATGGATGTCAGTAAATCCAGAGCTTTCCTTCCCGTGGAAACAGATGAAGCTGAGGAGAAAAGCATAAAATTATGAATGACAAAAGCTGTCAGTAACTAGCTTCCCAACTCCTTGGGAAACAAGGGTAAGACTCAGGAAGAAAGCCACAGGCTCCAATAATGTCCCTCTCGACGAAGAAAAAAGGAAATCGTCCTGGTGTGAAAATGTTACTATTTGTGACTACAGGCGTATTTCTGGGTAAATCTGTTATCTGTACATGCTTCAACACAGATGAATCTCAAAAACATATGCTAAGTGAAAGATAAAAGACCATATGTTGTATGATTCCATTTAAATGTAATGTCCGGAATAGATAAATCTACAGAGACAGAAAGTAGATTGGTGGTTGCCAGGGGCTGGGGAGATGGGGAAACGGGCTTAATGTCTACCAGTTTCTTTTGGTGGTGGTGGTGGGGGGTGACGAAAATGTTCTAAAATTGGATGGTGTGCTCCACAAATCTATAAATATACTAAAAACCATTGAATCGCACACTTTAAATGGGGGAATTTAATGTTATGTAAATTACATCTCAATAAGCTGCTTAAAAAAAAAACTCTGCTGTCACCTGCGAAGGAAACACACCTGTAAGATATATATAAACATGACCAAGTAATGGACCTCTTTATTTTAATCAGGTGGATTTTTAAAAATCATAATTTGCACTGAATCCAAGATATACAATGGAAGATGAGTAGAAGCCCGCCTCCGTTAGCAGATGAAATCAGCGCTTTACGATCATCACGTCTCGGTTCCCAAATGAACCTTCATCCAACGCATAATCGGAGTCAATCTATTTATCTGATTTCACTATAATAAGGAGTGACTGCCGCGGGAGAACAGAAATGGTGAAGAGCAAATTACACAAAGAACCTTTGTCTTCTGGTTCCCAGTCGGGCAATAGAAAACATTTTCCCCTGTGCGTTGGCCTTGATTCTCTCTCTGGATGGGAAGCTGATGAAGGGAAGCAACCACCCCCTGAGTTCCTGTATTTTCTCTCTGCCTCTTGAGCATCCTGATAGGTCTCCAAGCCACAGGGACCATAAAATGGTCCCTGGACCAGCCCGTGGGCCACATTCCAGCGCCCCCCTCACCGCCCCCAGCCAGATGGTATTTTCCACTCCTCGTGGAAATTTCGAGAGCTCCTCAGCCTTGCACACAGATTGGTAAGCAGTAGAACAGGAAAGAATGCTGGGCTCTGGGCCTCCTGACAGTGTGTCTTTTATTACAGATAACTCCCGAATGGGCAGGTCTAATTTAAAAAGGGGTTGGGAAACTTTTATAGGGCTTTTTCCCGTTTGGGGGTCACAGAACACAGTTGTTAGATTCAGCACTGTGAAAGGAACCAAGATCTTCCCCGTGGGTCAAATTCTGACACTATTTGGCCCAGAGCAGCCACTCGGGGATGGGTTCTTTAACGAACCGGCAACAGAATGAGTGGATGCATGGGTGGTTGGCTGGCTCTCAGTGCCAGTCACACAGAAGAGAAATCGGAGGGTGAAGCCTATGGATATTAGAGAACCAGAAGTATTGAAATCTAACCCTTGAAAGGCTGTTTAGATTTTCTTGTTGAGGAAAGAGCAAGGAGTAAAGGAAAAACAACAAACACCCAGAGGACCTTCAAGTATTGAGAGTTCCTGAGACAAGTCGCTGACTCTTACTTGCAAAACAGAAGGAAACCAGACAACTGGTCTCAATGATTCCTACTTAAGAAATGTGTTTGGATTTGCCAAATGACCTTAGGATTATATTCATACAGACCTTCCCAAATACTGAGAAAGGTGACAAGATACCGAAAGTCATGCGATTGGGGATCATGAAAGCATACTCCACCAATAATGTCTAATGAGAGGGCAGAGAGGAGCGTGATCTAAACCCGGAGTTCTGACTCTATTTGTGTGACTTGCGCCATGTCTGCCCACGGTCATTTGCAGAGTTTATTTATCCTTCCTGCCCTCATTTATTTCCTGTGACACGCGTGCATACACAATCGCCTTGAAGAAGACCTTCAACCAGTTTCTAATATTCAGAAGGAATTGAAAAAGGAATTCTGAGCTAACAGGCCCTTGAGAGTTGAGAGAGGCATGAAGGACTATTATTTCAAAGATTGAGAGAGAATTTAAAAGTTGAATTGGATGATATCTTAGAGATTCGGGTTTAATTTCTCCTTATTTAAGCATATTACTCCTGCCAGGGCCATATTGAGACATTTAAAGATGATTGAGTGTATAGAGTCTCTGGAGGTTCCTGACTCTCGTTTGGATTATGCTTTCTATTAGAGTCCAAGGGTAGTCAGCGTGTTATGTTAATCCATATTTAAACTAGAGTGACCTCACATCCCGATTTGCCCAGGACCGTCCTGGTTCACACCTGTTGTCCCAGCAGAATTATTAATAGCCTCCCCCTCCATTCTCAATAGTGTCCTAGTTTGGAAGATTAAATTCTACAGTCACTCTAACCTTGACTCCTAAAGATTTTCAAGGATACACCACACTTTCTCATTGTTGCAATTTATAGCTATTTTCTACAATCTCTGAGACCCTTCCTTCTTTCCGTCCCATTTCAACCATCCTTTGAACTTTAGAAGGCTCCTCAGAGAACCAGAAAGCCAGCGGGGAAACGAAGAGGAACCACATCCCCATAAAGACGACTGTTGTCCATTAACAACACACCTTGACTAAGTAACATGGCTTGCTAGTTAACGATCTTTTAATTATTCAGGTTGCATTTCTATTAATCAGCAAATGACTAATTCAGTTGTACTATTAAGTATTTGCTAAGTGCTAATGGTTGCACAGCACATACCTTCATAGCCAAAGAGAAGCAAAAACAAGAAGCCTTCTATCTTGTGCGGCATTCTCTGCTTGTCCTTGACTGTAGCTCTACCTTACCCAAGTGGAGAGCTTCCCCAGGAGCCGGGGCTTAACCTGAGCGCTGGCCTCCTTAAGCATCTTATTCCATTTAGTTCTTAGGGCTTTGGCTGAGCCCTAGGAAGTTAACCCACATAGCTACCTGCCTCAACAAGCAAGTCTCAGAGACGAGTCTAATGTCTACTGAGTCTGGTTTAGCAAAGGAAGGTACTGGTTTTATGCGATCTTTATTTTTAAAGATGTATTTATTTATTTTGAAAGAGAAAGAGAGAGAGCTAGCAGGGGGAGGGACAGAGGGAGAAGGAGGAGAGAAAATCCCAAGCAGACTCCCCTTGGAGCAGGGAGCCAGACGTGGGGCTCGATCCCACAACCTGAGATCATGACCTGAGTGCGAATCGAGAGTTGGTGGCTCAGCCGACTGAGCCACACCAGGCACCCCTGCGCTCTCTTTAAATTTAAGGGAAGCAGTGGAGGGCAAGAGAAACTACAATCAGAAGAGCCAGGTCTTGGGGCACCTGGGTGGCTCAGTGGGTTAAGCCTCTGCCTTCGGCTCAGGTCATGATCTCAGGGTGCTGGGATCGAGTCCCGCATTGGGCTCTCTGCTCAGCAGGGAGCCTGCCTCCTCCTCCTGTCTCTCTCTGCCTGTCTCTCTGCCTACTTGTGATCTGTCAAATTAAAAAAAAAAAAAAAAATAAGACCCAGGTCTTAATCCTTTCTTTGCCATCATCTTCTGTGTGGGTGACCTTGAGCAATTTCCTGCCAGATCAGCACTAATATTGTCAAATTCTATGAAAGCGACATGGATTCCCTTCTTGGAAAGCAACTTGGCATCGTGTTCATACACCTATTCACTCAGGAAAATACTCAGTTTGGGGGGGGGGAGATGATTACACACAAAGACATACCTCACTTTGTTATTTATAATAACAAAAAATAGGAAACAATCTACATGGCCAAGGTCAGGGGGTTCAGCATAGCAGGTAGAGTTAAGAGCACTGATTCCCATGCCAGACTGGGTGTAAAGCTCAGCTCAACCACTTGTTATAATTTTAGGCAAGTTATTTGAGATCTGTGTGCCTCAACTTTCTCATCTATAAGATGATGATAATAATGCCTATTTCATAGACGTAGTTTGAGGATCAAGTGGGCTGATTACATGTATAATTAAAACAGTGCTAGACATAATTAGTTATTATTATTATACAGCCATTAATAATAAAGTTGATGGGTGAAAAAGGGAGTTGTTTAATGAGCACAGAGTTTCGGTTTTGCGAGGTGAAAAAGTTCTGGAGATCTTTTTCACAATAATGTGAATATATTTAGCATTACCGAGTTGTGCACTTAAATATGGTTAAGATGATAAAAAATAAAACAAGTTAATGAAACGGTTGTGATAACAGGGACAAACCTGTGTTATGCTCTTGATTTAGAAAAGGATGCAAAAGTACGTATGACCCCCAACAATGTGGAAAAATGCAGAGAAAAATACAGAGTTTCCCTTTCCCTTTCGGGTTTTGGGCCATCACCATTCCACCGCAGCCCCCAGGGTCCCAGACACCTTCCCTTCATTCCTCTTGTCAAAGATGGAAAAGGCCAATATAGGGATCCCTGGGTGGCTCAGTCACTAAGCGTCTGCCTTTGGTTCCCGTGGTGATCCCAGGGTCCTGGAATGGAGCCTCCCCACAGCCTGCATAAGGCTCGCTGCCCGCAGGAAGCCTGCTTCTACCTCTCCCACTCCCCCTGCTTGTGCTCCCTCTCTCTCTGTGTCAAATAAACAAGATCTTAAAAAAAAGAAAGAAAGAAAAAGGCGAATATAAAAAGATAGTAATGACACCCCCCCCCCAAGGAAAGTGTGATGAACTACAAAGAAGAACAAAAAGGAGCTAGAGAAACGCTTAGTCATTTCGTCGGTATTTATCCCGAGTCTACAAGCTTGTTCTATACCTTGTATGGATTCGTCATTACACAAAGGAAGGTCTATTCAACAAACCCTACTGGTGTATTAAAAAGTGAAGGACGGGCGCCTGGGTGGCTCAGTGGGTTAAAGCCTCTGCCTTCAGCTCAGGTCATGATCCCAGGGTTTTGGGCTCGAGCCCCGCATCGGGCTCTCTGCTCGGCGGGGAGCCTGCTTCCCTTCATCTCTCTGCTTACCTGTGATCTCTGTCTGTCAAATAAATAAATAAATAAATAATCTTAAAAAAAAAAAAGTGAAGGACTATTTCTCCCTGCCCTGCAGTTTAGAGTTTAATGAAAAATTAACCCTTTAATAATTATTATTATTATTTTTATATATTATATTATATTTATATTTATAATTATTTATTTATATATATAAATATTTATAAATATTTATAATTATTATTATATATTATTATTACCTGTAATAATTCAACCGCAATCAAAGCACTTTTGCATTGCCATATTTCAGTTGGAGGCTTGGGGGGACAGGTCTGTGCTGGCTTGCAGGGAAAGGGCTTGGCCAGGTGGTCTTGCTTCCTAGGAACTCCGCATTTTCCCAGGCCTCCGGGGCCCAGGCGGGGTGGGACTACGACAAGATCAGGAGCCCACCTGTGCTGTTGCAGAGGGGAGGAGAGACTGTCATTATGCTTCCGCGATAAAAACATGTTCCCCCCGCCCCCCCCCAAGAAAGTGAAAAATTAAGAAAAAGTTTTAAATGTTCCCAAATAGAAGAGTAAAACAAATACTTTTTAAAATTTTTTTTATTTTTTTTTTTTAAGATTTTATTTACGTCTTTGACAGAGAGAGACAGCGAGAGAGGGAACACAAGAAGGGGAAGTGGGAGAGGAGAAGCAGGTTTCCCGCAGAGCAGGGAGCCCGATATGGGGCTCAATTGCAGGACCCCTGGATAATGACCAGAGCCGAAGGCAGATGCTCAGCTGACTGAGCCACTAGGCGCCCGCAAATACTATTTTTAAAGGAGGAAGAAAAAACCTTCCTCTTGCTTTTATTTAGTGCACGAGAAAAGGAGTCTCATTCCCATGGTTCCACTGGGGCTCGAACCCAGGACCTTCTGCGTGTAAAGCAGACGTGATAACCACTACACTATGGAACCTCCTCAAGAGCATGTTGGCATCATTAGCTTATTCATAGCCTAACATCTGAACCGGCGCCTCAGCTCAAACCCCGCCCCTCGGCCGTAGCTCCTCCTCCGCCGTGGCTCCGCCCCACCTCCAAGACAGGGTGTTCGCGGCTAAGTCCCCGGCTCCGGCTGTGGCGTTTACGCTGCTCGCACAACCTGCCCGCCACGTTCGTCAGCCCTGTGACCAGAGCGAGGCCAGGGCTGGGGTGACCCTCCTGAGGGCCGACCCCCTAATCACCCGTCCCAAGTTTTTTGTCAGCCGCGAGGTCAGCGGGACCTGCCCAGAGGGCAGGCGGAAGCGGACCTTGCCGCGGCCATGACGGCTGTTAGCCGCTTCCCTCGGCTGGGGAGAGACCCGCGCTTTCCCGGTTTATCCCTGGGCGCCCTGCGCCGCTGCTGGCGGCACGTGGGGGCCTTGAGTCCGGAGCAGGGCGGACAGGAGCGCCTCTTGGAGCCAAAGACTGAGGCAGCGCCGGGTTTGGGAGTGGGCTGGGCGTCGCCGTCACATCGGCATTTCTGTTGACAGGGTTGGAAGAGTCCGCTGGTTAGTGGGCCCCTTGCCCGCGGGTGTAGGCTCCTAAGGGTTCCCCGACATTTTCACAGCGTTCCTCCTCTCCCGACCCCCCACCCCCACCCTCCGCCCACGGGAGCAGGAAGTTGCAGGACTTTTGTTGGCCCCTATTTGGGCTGGGGTTGGGCTGGGAGGGGCGGTGTAGACGGTTTACAGCCCTTCACGGCTGGGGGTGATGAAGCGGTACCCGCCAAGAGATTTGAGCGGCCTAGTGCAAAAGGAAAATGCCAGATTCCTTGTTCATGAGTTACTAAGAGTCCCAAAACGGTGGTAAGCAGAGCATTAAACCCAGCGCCGGCCCCTGCGACTGCGCAGGTTGTAGCCGGTGAACCTGTCGCGGTGCTTCCGAGACTTCCGGCCCGCACCAGGTGCTGGAACCCTCCATTACGAAGGGCTCCGGTGTGCTCCGGCTTCTTAGTTTTCATTGTCACTGCTGTTTCCCCTCCCCAGTGCTTTTGGATGGATCTTCGTCATCGTCCTAGGATTGCTCACCACCCTCAAGCTTAAAAACCCAGCCAAGACCTTTTGACGGGCATCTTTAAGGGCTGAGTTGAACACGGCTGAAGGCTGGGGCTGTCTTTTCCCCTGGCGTCTTCCTCTGAAGCTGGCAGAATGATGGAGACATGGTACTGATTGTATGAAAGCAACCCCTTCAGCCGAGTCCTGACTTCCCGGGAAGACCTGTGGAAGAAACAGGTGGGTGGAAAGCAAACTAATCTGGGGGGCAGAATCTAAATTCTAGTCCTGCCCTGGTTACTCGTTAACTATGTGCTCTTCGGTTCACCTCCCAAGCCTCAGCGTCCTCCTTGGTGAAATGAATGGGTTGGACCAGACACACCCACTTCCCCTCTGGGTCTAAATGTTATCCCTCCTTTCCAGGTGGGCACATGGAGGCAGTTACCTGCCGTGTAAGTTTTCCACAGGGATGGAGGCAGGCGTGCAGCTCGTGCTTGGGTTCTCTACTCCCGGGCCCCCTACTCCTACTGAGCCCCCCACTCCGTAATATTCACCATGGGGCCCATTGCAGAATTCCTTTTTGTTGATACCTTTCTCCAGGCCTCTTGATGCAGATGGCCACGAGTGGATAGCCACCAGCAGGAGGATGGATTCATGAAAGCTCAACTGCTAGTCCATGGACCATAATGACTCCCAGGATACCCAATGCTAAGTACATCCCACCTGTTTCCAAACCTCTCTCTGTGCAGAACAAGGCCGCAAATTAGGCCTGAAATTACACTCACTGTTGTGTTTTGGTTTTTCTCTAGGGAACGCTTCGCTCATCTCCAAGCTTTGTGTCTGCCCTTGCTCCAAAGGATGGGTTCTCCGAGTGCAAGTTTTGGCCAAGTTCCCACACATGCTCTGTGTAGAAAAGAAGCTGGTGCACCTCTCATGCGTGCCACGTAGGTTTCTGCCTTTAGTGGAAAATTCTTGTGCCTTTTTTCCATTCTGACAAGGAGGAAGACCTTTGTTCCACTTCCCTGCTGCCCTCAGCGTGTAGTCACATTCTCTGTTGTTAGTGAAGCACGAGATTGTTTACAAAGCACTTCCACGTACACTCCTATGAGGAAGCCATGATAAGTATTACTGTCTTCATTTTTCAGCTGAGAAAGTTAAAGCTGATGAATCTGAATGCCTTCCCTGAGACCATTCTGCTTATACTCAGTCTTCTGATGCCAAAGTGATTTTGGGAGGCCCATGTCCGCAAAGGCCACGTGTGGTTCCTGTAAGAGCGCCCCTGAGTTCTTGTAATAGTTCATATGCACTCAGGGAGGGAACGGATAACTCTATTCTTCCTTTGTGATTTTATTTTTTTTAAAGATTTGTTTATTTATTTGAGAGAGAGGGAGAGAGAATTTTGAGCGGACTCCCTGCAGAGCATGGAGCCTGAAGCAGGGCTCAATCCCATGACCCTGTGAAGGGGTCTTGGGCTCGATCCCAAGACGCTGAGATCATGACGTGAGCTGACGCCAAGAATCAGACCCTCAACCGACTGAGCCACCCAGGCCTCTCTCCCTTGTAGTTTTAAGATGAAGTCCTCAAAAGCAGGAAACAAAAGCCTGCCTAGAAACAACCGTTGGTGACTTTGATCTTGGAACCATCAGTGTCATGGCTAGCCTTTCAGATGGCCACAGTTTTGCCTGGCGCTTCAGGCAGTTCAGTCGGATGTGCGAGGCCTGTGTCTCCCCGCCCCCGCCACCCCAGGTATGCCCGTAAGCATCTGAACAACTGTAAGTCAAATCCATCAACAGACTAGTAAATAAGGACTAGAAGTCACTTCAAAGTTTTGAGTCCCCTGATTTCTCAGATGCTTGGTGTGGCTTCCCCAGCGGATGGCTTTACTGATGGAGAGCAACTCAGCCAGAGAAACCACGGTCTCAAACACTGAGCTGACTTAGGAAGCTCTGTTTATCTGATTTCATTTAGAAAGGGTTATACTCTGTCTTTCACTACCGTGCTCCAGTATTTACTAAGAAAATAAGTCATTACCTTATTATGTGAGCTCACCTTAATCTTCTCCCTTTTACAGCTCATCAAGTTCGAAACATTTGAAATTAGCCTATTGGAATGGGTATTTGATATTTGTTGCTCTTTGCCCCCATGCCTTTTCATAGTCATCTGTATCCCTCTGTCTTCTTATCTGGCTCAACTTCTATGGTCATTTTTATCACTTGTTTGCCCTTTTGTTGTACTTGTTGGCAAACCACAGTCTGTAAGGTCCCGCTCTCTCCGTACTCTGCCCTTGTATATGGCCCCAAGAGGAACACATATCCAGGTCAACCGATTTCACACTAAATTCTTGACTACTGACCTCAAGCGAACCCTTAATGTAGCCTAGAATCCAGTCTACTTCTTCGTCCATTCATTCTCCTCTTCTCCTAAAGGACAATTTTGTATCTTCTCTCCCTGAACTTCCTGTACCTCCTTCCCCAGCCTCACTTACAGGTGATGAACCTGCTTCTTTTTTCAGTAAAGAGATAGAAGCAATGAGAAGAGAACTTCCGTAAGTCCCCACCACTTCTGCCCAGCCACCAGTATCTGTGCGATCAGAGATCTAGATCAGGCCTCTCCCTGTAGATCACAATAGATCAGGGCTTCTCAACAGCTGTTTTGACATTTGGGACTGAGTAACTCTTGGTCATGGGGGTTGTTCTGTGCATGGAAGGATGCCTCACAGCGTCTCTGGCCTCTACCCACTCGATGTCCCTGGCATCCCTCCCCCCAGTTGTGAGCACCCAAAATGTCCTCTGGCAGGGGGAGATCTTGGGGGCCATTCGATAACATTTACAGATACTTTTGGTTGTCCCAGCGTGGGTGCAAGGGTTGGTGTGCTGTTGGCGTGTGGGGGTAGAGACCAGGGATGTGGTGAGATGTCCTGCAGGGCACATGACAGGCCGCCGTGGCAAAGCTCACCTAGTCCCGAATGTTCCTAGTGCTATGATTGAGAAGTCCTGTCCTAGATGCATTGTCCACATTTCTATCAAAATCCAGCCCGCCATCTGCTCTTGTCCACTCCAGGAAATCACTCCAGCAAGTCCCCTCTCTCCTACATGATTATTTACCTTCTCTGTCATCGCCTTCCGATAAACTTACAAACATGCTGCAGTTTCTCTCAGCGTTAAAAGGAACCCCTGATCCCCTTTCGGCCTCTAGCTAGTTCAATTTTTTTTTTTAAAGACTTTATTTATTTACTTATTTATTTGACACAGAGAGAGAGAGAGAGACAGCACAAGCAGGCAGAGAGGCAGGCAGAGGCAGAGAGAGAAGCAGGCTCCCTGCTGAGCAAGAAGCTCATTGTGGGACTCGATCCCAGGACCCTGGGATCATGACCTGAGCCGAAGGCAGCGTCCCAACCGACAGCCACCCAGGTGACCCTAGTTCAGTTTTTTTGCTGTTTGTTGTTGTTGTTGTTGTGTTTTTGTTTGCTCTCCTTTGCAATAGAACTCGTAGAAAGATGTGTCTGTAGGCTCTCTCTCCCATTCCTCTCCTTTTGGAAGTGCTTTTCCCTCATGGCTTTTAGGGTACTGCCCTCTCCTGATTTTTGTTTCCTACCTTATGAGTCACCCCTTCTCGGTCACCTTTGCACTTGGACGACTTCTCTCTTCATTTCCACCGCCTGGATGACCTCACTCATTTGTTTTACTTATTTATTTATTTTAGATTTTTTTTTTTTGTTTATTTATTTGGCAGACAGAGATCACAAGTAGGCAGAGAGAGAGAGGGGGAAGCAGGCTCCCTGCTGAGCAGAGAGCCCGATGTGGGGCTCCATCCCAGGACCCTGAGATCAGGACCTGAGCCAAAAGCAGAGGTTTAACCCACTGAACCACCCAGGCGCCCCGACCTCATTCATTTGAATGGCTTGAAATAGTTGCTATAGTCTCGTCAACACTTTCCTCCCAAACTCCAAATGTACCTACTTCACGTGTCCATTTAGATGTGTGTCTAACGGGCATCTTAAAGCTATCAGAGCTGCGGCGACACTCCTGGCATCCGCCTCCATCTGCTACCCCCCTCTTCCTTATCTCAGATAAGAACAGCTTCACCTTTCTACCTATTGAGGCCCAAAACTTTGAATCATACTTGATTCTTCTTTTCCTCATACCTTGAATCTAATTCTACTAGCAAATTCTATTGGCCTTCCTTTCAGGATCTATGTAGAATCTTGTCAGTCACTTTCTGTGTCTCCTCTGCTGTCACACCAGTCAAAGCCATCATCCCATTTGGCCTGGATCATTGCCAGACACCTCCCCTCCTGGCCTCCCAGCTTCTGCCCTTTTCTCCCTATGGACTATTCTCTGCACAGTAGCCAGAGTGATCCCTTTTTTTTTTTTTTTTTAATTTTATTTATTTATTTGACAGACAGAGATCACAAGTAGGCAGAGAGAGAGGGGGAAGCAGGCTCTCTGCTC